AGCTAGTTGTTAAAATGCCGTATTAGACAAGCACAGGTTCAAATCCTGCCTCCACCACATGCTCTTTGTAATAATAGCTGTAACAAAAATACCTATCTCTTAGGGGTTCAATTAGACCATACAATATGTACAAACTGCTTTGCACAATAGTAAGTTCTCAGCAAAAGGGAGCTATTGCTAATACATGAGAAAGAGGAAAGTGAAACACTATTTTGTGAAAATCTACAAGCCAGGCACTGTAGTTATGACTTACATATTTCATCTCATTTAAGCCTCCCAACCATCAAGCAAAATAGGTAACAGTATTCCCATTTTACACATGAGAACACTAAGGCTCAGAGGCACTCAGCTCTTCAGGGCCCTGTCCTCCTCTCCCACATTTAAGGGCCCACCTTCTCCACTTGGCTGATTCTCCCATCAGCCATAGGGCTAACAATGCATATCAACTTTAGTTTTTCTTTTGAGCTAAGGTATGACTTTAACTAAAAGGAACTCAACCATAGCAATAATTAAGTCTGTCCAAATCACTCAAATTTGTTTCTAATAAGAAAAACAAATTGCAGCCTGGGTACAAAAGCGGAAACAGGGACTTCCCTGGTGGCGCAGTGGTTAAGACTCTGCACTCCCAATGCAGGGGGCCCAAGTTCCATCCCTGGTCAGGGAACTACATCCCACATGCATGCTGCAACTAAGAGTTTGCATGCCACAACTAAGGAGCCTGCATGCAGCAACTAAGGAGCCCATGTGCCGCAACTAAGGAGCCCATGTGCCGCAACTAAGAAGCTGGAGAGCCACAACTAAGGAGCCTGCGAGCCACAACTAAGACCCGGCACAACCAAATAAATAAACAAATATTAAAAAAAAAAAAAAAGCGGAAACAGGAAGCGGTGTCTTGGATTAAAGCAACTGCAGCACAAGGAACTCAAAGTCTCTTCCCAAACCCAGTTCCAGGGAAGCAAATCTTCCCGTCTCACAAAGCAGAGAAACTGGCAGGAAGCAGGGTGACAACCAGCTCTTGCTCAGGCCCTTAAATGTGATGTTTCCTTTTACAAATCTGTGCCTTGGCAAATGCTGCTCCCTCTGTTTTAAAATGTACTTCCATTTTCACCAGGCAAACTATTGTTCCTTCTTCAAAATCCAGCTCAAATCTTCCCCTTTTAGTAGCTTTCTCTGACACCTCATCAGAAAGTTAATTGCTTAAGTGATCCAGTAGCACAGTTTAACTTTTATCCCACTATATTGTAAGATTTTAGTTATCTGTTCCTCCTCTTAGCAGTAATTTTCAGCAAGTCAGGTGAGAAGGATGGAAGATAGCAGGTGTAGGGGTGTATGTGTGTGTAAAAAGGCATATTTGAAGAGATCATTTCTTTTTATCTTTGGCCGTGCAGCATGTGGGACCTTAGTTTCCCAACCAGGGATCAAACCCATGCCCGCTGCAGTGGACACAGGGAGCCTCAACCACTGGACCGCCAGGGAAGTCCCTGAAGAGATCATTTCTTGTACTTGTTTTTTGTCAGACCCTTGAATCCAGTTTAAGATTTCAAGCAGCATTAAAGAAAAGTATAAGATTAGCTTTTCCCCTCTAAGGAGTATATGAGTTTAAAAAGTCTGAGCAACACTGAGCTAAACATAGATCCTTAAGGGCAAGGACCACATTTTATTCATTTCTGTATCCCCAGCACAGGGCCAGGCACAAAGTAAGTGTGAGGCAATGTCTGCTGAATGAATTATGATGTCAACTGCTCTGGAATCAGAACATGGCAGAACAGAGCAGGGCCTAAGAAGCAGGAAAAGCTTCTTTTCTTTCTTTCTCTCTCCTTCTTCCTAGCCCCCTCCCCCCAATTCTGTCCTCCCCAGTTAGAGACAGAGAGTGAGCGAGCATTGCCTTGGTGCCAGAATACTATTAAAAGGATTAATTTAGGGACCGGTGTTTGGACTGTCACATCCAATCACTACCCACAGATCTACAGCTTCCCAAATCAGGCTCATGCAAAGAGGAATCAATTGCAAGGACACAGAGGGTCTGAACAGGCATACTAATGGCTTCCTGAGGTGCCAGCGGCCAGCTCTGACACTCCCATAAATTATCCTCCTTTTGATTTTACCTGTAGCTGTGGGGCACAAGGCACAATTTTGAACATATCAAAGCAATCTCTCGTCACCCAAGGCTCCCCCAAGAATGTCCCCAAAGGAGGATGGACTAAAAACAATGACCCAAAGGGAATCTGCTTCCCAGCAGGCCTGTTCCTAGCAGTCATCAATTAAAACCCAACAGGACCAAGTGGATAAAGGGACCCAGATCAAGACTAGGAGATATGGATAAGACATGCATTAGACTGCAGTTCTGCAATGACTATACATCTCTCACTCAAAAGAAGAGAAATCACAGCAATAAACTCACACAATTTCATCTGGGGGCAACTCTGCACCAGCTCTAACAGTACCTCACAGCATGACCTCGGACAACACACTTAACCTTCCTGGGCCTCAGTTTCCTCACATGCGTAGCAGGGACAATAATGCTGACCACCTGACCCGCTTCCCAGAGTGGTGATGAAAAGTAATAAAAAGCATTCAAGAGGCACTTTACAAAGGCACAAGGGTGGCAACATTAATAAACGACCCCGACAGGCCAGGAAAATGACTGGTCACACTTCGGTGAATTTCTTTCGGGTAGCTGCTCACTCAGTTCACTTCACTGACGGTGCTGGGGCTAAGTCCACCCTGAAGAAAGTTCTGGAATTCCGAATGGGACTCCTGCTGTCTGAAGATTTTCCATTATGAAGAGCAGCATCTTGCTTTAGTTATAATTTCCTCCTGTTTGCTGGCTGCCTCTGCCAGGGGCTAGGTTTCTATTACATGGCCACAATGACAATTGGGAGCACCCCAAATGTACTAAGCCAAAGGCCAAGTTACCCAATTGCTACCTGCTTTTTAAAAAATTGTGTAAAATATTGTTAATAACAAAAGTTAAGGACACCTTGCTAAGAGTTTTACATCTCATTAAATCCTTTAACCAACCTATTAAGTTCCATTTTACAGATAGAAAAGCTAAACTCAGAGAGGTAAGTCATTTGCCCAAGGTCACATAAGCACTGTTATCAGAAACCTCTAGCAATGCACACCAGAGCTTGCAGGTAGAGGAAGACAATTCATCAGACACTCAACAAATACTTTATTTGATCCCTGTAGCTGACACATACCATCATACTCAACTAGGAGACACTCTCAAAACCAGAAAAAGAGCATCAGTTTCTTAGAAGCAAGCAAAGAAGAAGACTAAGTAGGACATATAGAGAATGAGGCAATTCCCTGGGAAGCTTAGGAAAATGGGTCCCCCTCCGTGTGTACAGTTCAAGAAATTCAAAGCAACTAACATTAAGCTATGAGACCAAAGACCAAAATCTCCCCCTGGCTACATTTATTCACTACTACTTTCAATAGAAAAGCGTTCCCCCAAACTTCTCATTCATTCCACACCAACTTGTCCTTCCCACATCTTTTCTAATCTGTGAAATAGGAGCTGGTATCGTCAACAACTTCTCTGGTAGACATCCTTTAAGCTCAAGTAGATGGCCAGGAAATTAGCAAAGAGAACCAGCAAAGATTCAGGTATACTCAATTTTTAATTGTCAAAACACTGCCTCAAAGGTGAAAATGTTACCCATGTAACTGCCACAGCCTCCTTACTGGTCTCTCTGCCTCAGGTACTACCCCCTTCAATCCATTCTTAACACTGAACATTAAAATTAAAGCAAACTTTCTAAAACACACATCTAGTATCACTCCACGACTTAAAACCTTTCAATGGCTTCTCACGGCTTTTATGATGGTCTGATCCAGTGGTTGGTCCACAGGCCAAATCCAGCTGCCACCTGTTTTTATAAAGTTTACTGGAACACAGCCATGCTCACTAATTCTCCTACTATGGCTGCTTTCGTGCTATAGCAGCAGAGTAAACAGTTGTGACACAAACCCATAAAGACTAAATATTTACTATCTGACCCTTTACAGTAAAAGTTTGCTGACCTAGTCTAATCTTTTTTTCTACCCACCATTTAATCCTAAGAGCTTATAAGGCCCTGGCTTCTGCTTACCTTTCCTCCTTAATTTCTCACTGTATTCTCCTGTCTGCTGCCCACTGAGTATGTTTCAATCACACTGAACTTCAGTTTCTCAAACTCAACAAAGCTCTGACCTTCACACTTGGTTCTTCACATCTTCATCTAATTCTAGCTGAGTAGGTTACTTCCTCTGAAAAGCCTTCCCCGAACCCACCAGTCTGGGCTGGAGATCCTTCTAAGTACTCTCAAGCACATATACTTACCTCGTTACAGCACTCTCAGAGGTCTTGTGACTGCTTCAATACTATCTGTCTTGCCCATGAACTTGTAAGCTCTTTGGTGTCAGGGACAGCAGCTGTCTTGTTCACCACCACAATCCCACCACCAAGCAAAATGCCTGGACCTCAATTATTCAGTAAACAGCCTCTGACATCCTGGATATCAATCATCAGAGTCTACCTTTTTAGCCAGCCCCGATCCTCGTAAAACGGAGACAGACTGGGATTAACCATCCATCCAAAGGTGACCCACAACCCAAATCTGATAAATTCATGTGACCAAGATCCCAAAGGCCTTGGTCAAATGCATTTATCAGAATCCAAATAAATGTGATCCTTCCTATTGTCTTAAGATGTGTATTTCTCAGGATAAAGGATTATTCCGGTTCTGTTCAACCTTGCTGAACTTCAAGTAGGTGCTCATGTAATGCCCACTGAGAAATCACGGCAGAACTTGAAAGTATGGATATCCCACCTTCAACTCTCACCACTTTATAGACTTTGGGTAAGTTTCTGTAGTCTTTTAGCATATGGTATCTTGTCAGGAAAAGCTACAGAAAAGTACAGTCTGCACCAGTCCCCACTCCCCACCCTCTAAGCCCAAATACTCGTAAGGAAGAAGTCAAGCCAAACCTTGACCATGCAACAGGATTCTCACCTCTCCTTACTTCGAAGATGCCAAGACTGGCTGCTGGGGATGCTGAAGGTTCTGTGAGAGCTGGAAAGCCCCAATGCTGTGGATAAATACAGATCTCTGCAACAACTCTATTTCAATACTGTTTGAAACAACTTAAAGATCACACTATACTTCAAACTCCTAAACTCAAACTACTTTGGGATAACAGTTATCTATGTGGAAGCACAGTGCCAGCACAGAGCTTTCAGAAGCTACTAGTACTACAGTTGACCTTTGAACAACACAGATTTGAACTGCGCAGGTCCACTTCTTACATGCAGATGTTTCTCAATAAATAAATATATTGGGAGATTTTTTTGGAGATTTGTGACAATTTGAAAAAATCCAAAGATAAACCACATAGCCTAGAAATACCAAAAAAATTAAGAAAAAGTTAGGATGTCATGAATGCATTAAATATAAGTAGATATAACATACAAAATATGTGTTAATCAACTGCTTATGTTATCAGTAAGGCTTCTGGTCAACGCTATTAGTAGTTAAGTTTTTGGGGAGTCAAAAGTTATAAGCAGATTTTCAACTGTTTGGGGAGTCAGTTACCCTAATCTCTGCGTTTTTTCAATGGTCAACAATATATATTTTTGCAAGGATGAATTTCATCTTCTCTAGTGGCATACTTTTCTTCCTAAGGAGGTTTATCTCCTAGAAATACTAAACATTTACAATATCTGAGCTTGGACTGAGAGAGATGGCCATGAAGTCGTGGCTCTCTGGATAATCCCGAATCCTAGTCTAGCCAAGGAGGGGATACTAGTAAAGGCTGACAATATTCAGAACTCAGGCACTGAAGCAGGGATTGGGGGAAACACTGGTTGCCACAAAGCCACAGGCCATACTGCAAATGGCCACACAGACCAGGAAACACTTGCAGGATATATCTAGGTCTGCCTCAAGTTCTAAAAAAGTCAAGGTAATCAAACCCCAAATCAAATCATCAATGGACACCTATCATATTTATCACTTAATTCAGATTTTCCATACTCCGGTTTCTCTTCAGATCACTTAAATCTTGCACCTTTTACTCATCAGATCTTCAAAAGGATTAGAAGTTGCAGAAGTGCCCTTGTAAGCTAGCAACACCCTTGCACAAAGAAACACCTAGGTTTGGAACCAATCTATTCCTGTCTACCACTCTACACATTTAACACTTTATTCTACTCAGATCCCCTGGGAAAATGCCACTCGCCAACCTACCCCACCGCAAAGAAAACACTTTTCAAAATGAAAGGGAATAAAAGCACTTTTATTTGGAAATTTCAAGTTGCAAGGAGAGCTCTCAGCCAAGCTCTGTGACCTAGCTAGCCGATTATTTACAGGATCTTTGGGCAGGAATTGTTAATGAGCTTTTAATTTGGAGTGCTTAAGTTGCCAAAGTGCTCTGAGCTCCAGTGAAGCACCACAGAATCCATAAAGGAAACCTTATCAATCACTTCCCGGCAGCTACCTCCCCCAACTCCCCCCACGAAAGGCAGCCAAGTGGGTTTCTAACCAAGATCACAGACACACACATTAGTGGAGTCACACTCCAAGTCCCAGTTTATAAATTGGCTTTCAAATGCTAGGGGATTCAGGTATAATATACTTAAGCTCCAGGCGTGAACCCACCAAAACAAGGCATGCTGTGTATGATAAAGTCAGAATAAAGCAGAATTTGATGAAGCCAATTTCTGGTAGAAACTCTACAATCAAAAATCATTCAGCCAATCACAACCTACTATCGTTCAAATAGTGTACGGTCTTTAGCCAATGGGATTCCTGGTTTTTTGCCCTTCGCCTGGGAGACTGATAAAATGTCTGACAAGAACTAATACCAGAGAAGTGGCCAGAGACCTATAGCAGAGGGAATGATGGGTACTATCAGTTTACAAAATCCAGCCCTAAGGACAGAATCCAAACCCCCAATGAGAAGCCACGTTCAGCATCTTCCAAGTCAACAAGGAGCAGTTATATTTTGCAAGAACTCGCAATCAAGCCCCAATCCAAGTTCATGCCTTTTCGTTTTAAGAAAACACCTGTTGCTGGAGCATTTGCAGGAAAAGCAAACAGAAAGCTAGCCAAGTTAGGCCCCTTATTCAATCCTTCCACCATAACTACGACCACCGCAACAGATTTACAAAAAGAAGTAAACTGCTAAGCTTGTGTGTCTGTGTGTGTGTTGGGGAGAGGGTAAAGGGAATGTTCTCTCTACCATCTCCTTGCTAGTTTTCTATCCTCTTTGGTCAAAGCTCTCTTCCTCCTCCTAAGTAATTCCAGGTAGGAAGTCAGCATGCTTAATCACCTCACCCAGCCTGTCTTTCAAAGCCCTGCCCCTCTCCTGCTCCGCCTAAACGTTTCTCAGTAGACCATGCATCCAGGGTGAGCACATGGGCCAGCACCCCAGGCTGCACAAACTGCGCGCCGCGACCCTCACCCCGCATGCATTACCAGGGCCCAATCTGGGGGGGCCTCGCCGCATCACCCACCCCGGGGTGTTGCCCCCAACTCGGGCCCATCCAAGTCCAGGGAATTGTAAGGGGAGGAGCAGGGGGCCAGGAGACCAGCCCTCCTTCCCAGGGCCGCCCCCGCCCCCCGTCAGCAGCGGGAGAGGCTGTCGCCATGGCAACGCCCCCTCCTCGGGGCCAGCGCGGCAGGCTCCCTCCAGGTGCAGGCCCCGACTTCTCCCTCGGCCTGAGCAGGCGCTCAGGGCAGTTTACGGCGGCGGGCGCGGCCCGCGCCGAGTGCGGC